TAAAAATAAAAATTACCAAACTCCTTCAAAGTATGTCTTCACATTTTTATGGGTGGGGCTGAGAGGGCCCTGAGCACAGAAATGATCTCCATTTCTGCTACACCAGAATGGGAACAGGTGCTGTTATTACTCATGTGCAGCCAAGTAGGGACAAAGAAATAGACAGGTGAGGAGGTTTACCAAGATCACAGGGTTAACAGCTAAGCTAAAATCGTGTGCTTCCCCCAGTGGATTATACTAAGTACCAAGGGGGTGTGTGTGTGATCAGGTGGAAAATATCTACAAAAAGACAAGGCAACTCTCTCGGCCTGAAGGAAGGTCTGGGCTGACCTGCTATCTCTGTGGGCACAGTTGCTAGGGAAAGTAAGAAGGCGCTTCAGAAAGTTCGTGGAAAAAATGGAATTAAAAGATACATGTATTTTGTTGCAAAAAAAAAAAAAGTTGAAAGCCATGCACAAGTTTTTCCTAACTTTTTGACGGTCCCTTGTATAACTTCCGGAGAGACTCCGTTCAAGTCTTTGGAACTTGGCATCAGATTGCAGCACGGCTCCCAGAGTTCCGCGGAGCAGAGAGGAAGTGTTTCTCACCTATCTGCCAGGGCTTCCCCTGCTGCGGGGGGGACAGGAATCAGACTGGATTTTCAGGGTAGGAGGCAGCAAGTGTAGTCCATCTGCTACAAGCATCAGGGACAGGCTGTGAGAGAATTTATTTCTTCTTTATGGCAAAGTTTCAGTTTTACCAATGATAAATCTGAATGTGGCCTTACAAATGTTTTGGCGTCTCAGCAGCGGATGTGTGCAGCCCGACGGGTGAAATGTGGAGCCTCCAAGGTAATACAATCTTAACCAGATCATTGTTCTTTCACAGTTATTAATTATCAGGATGTCAATAACAGGACTCAGCAGAACAAAGTCCCTGGGGCAGCTTGTCAGGGAGGAAGCATTTGCTTTCCAAAATTTTTATTTCAACATCGCCATCTAGTGTCCAGTTCCCTGCTTTACCAAGCCTCAGGATTTCTGCTCAAAGCAAGATCAATGTTGTCGCCATGGAAAGATATCTATGAGATATCTCTGCATGTATTATGCAAACTTTTTGGTGTGTGTGAGTATGTGACACTGACACTCTCTCCTCCCACTTTGATTTGTAAGGACTCTTGTGGCTGCATTGAGCTCCCTGGCTATCTACTCTTCGAAACATCCATCATTTGATCATAAATGCAATGTTCCCTTTACTCTGTAAACTAACACGTCCACAGGTTCCAAGGGTTAGAACGTGAACATCCGTAGGGGACCGTTTCTCTGCCTAAGGGCCTAAACTCTTAAGAGTTTTTGGGTTTTTTAAACCTGTTTGCAATTATAATTTTTAAAATATGTTCCTGCATCAGGTTGTTTTCACTAAGAGAATTTGTTCAGGTGTTGCCATTTAGAGTGCAAAGTTACTTCACAAAGAAAAGACCCAAATTTCCTTATTTGTGCAGTGGTAGATTTCTAGCCCTCTGGGAGAATTCCAAGTTTGGAGGGCCATATATTTCTGGACTCTGCATTATTTACCACCAATCCAGGACTCACATGGAGTTTTTTGCCTAGAATCTCCTTCACAATTCACTATGGTTCCCAATCCAGGGAAAGATCAAGATAAGTTACAGCTGGAGGGTAGAAGGTAGACTCTAAGAGAGTCATAAGGAACAAAGAATAACGTGAGATGGGTGCAAATAAAAAAAGTCAATACATTTAAAGTAGCTTTTGAACAGCCTTGTGATTAAGACCTCAGGCAAGTTACAGAAGATTTCCATCACACTAGAAAGTTCTCTCATGCCTCTTCCAATGACTCCCATACCACCAAAAAACAACCACTTTGCAAGTTTCTCTTTCCATGGATTACTCTGCAAGATTTTGAGTTTCATATAAAAAAACAATATAACTCTTGTTTCTGTCTTCTTTCACCTGACATAATGTTTTTGAGATTTATTCATATTACTACTTGTATCAATTGTGTGTTTCTTTTTATTGCTGAGTAGTAGTCTATTTGTGAATATATCCATTTTTATTCATTCTTCTGCCAATGGACATTTGAGTTCTTTCCAATCTTGGGTCATTATGGTGAGAGCTGCAACAAACTTTGTTGTCAATAGGAGTTCACTGGGCTGATGGTCTCCTCTATCTCTGAGGGCCCAGGTCATAATCCCCTATAATACAGTAGACAATACATATGTATACCAGCTGATAGTGATACCTAGGCTCTAATGCATACAAGCAAACTTTTTGAACCCATCTGTAGCCTATCAGAGGGTAAGGAAGTAGAAGAACTATATTGGACAATCTGAGCGGAAGCATGGAGTTACTTGTTATGCATTTAGTGTAAGTGTTATACATTTGAAAGGTGATGTTTGTCTTATTGGTACAAGGTATAGTAATATAGAGAGCCTTCTGCATTTGGGGATACTGTCTGTTGTTAGTCTGTAGATTACTGAACATGGACTTCAGGGGTTCTCCAAAACCAAATACAAACTGCATGTTGATTGCCAAAAATCACATGATTTTGGAGTTTCTGGAGCTGGAAATTATCACAGACAACTCAAGAGAAGAGAGCTCCTGGAGCATATAAAATGCCACATCGTTAAGAATCTAACATAAGGACAATTGAAAGAGAAATGAACAATAAGTAGTATTTGATGTCCCTTAGTCAATAGCAAGTGTAATAGGGCTATCATGGGCTCCAGAGGTCCCCAGAGACTACGATCAGTATCTTGACCAAGATCTGGTAACCTACAGAAGAGAAAACAAGAACTTCTTACTGATGCTGCAATGAAATTCACAATCTCTCCATTCTCTTCTTTCTGAGGAAGTTGGTACTGGAGTTATTGGGATAGAAAACTGAGAAATGAACCATAAGAAATGCCTAGGGAAGTTCAAGAACCATAGGATACAGTGGATATGATAGGAAAGCTTTGGCCATAGGATTATTGGTGCCAATCCAATGTCATGTACCCATCTCCCTTAGCTGGATAGAGGTATTCTCCCACACATATTTCCTGGGTTGGACCGGATATGATGACAAGCAGGTAAATGAGGACTGATTTGGCATTTGCTATAGTGTTGGAATTTTGCTGGGCAGGATGTGGGTACAAGTAAATGAAAGGCATAGGTGAGACTAGAAGTCCAAGCAATAAATCATGATCTCCAGAAAGGGTAGAGAAGAAAAAAGCAGTCAAGAAAAAAGGAAAAAAATAAAGTAATTAAAAAACAGGAGTTGAGGCCGGTGCCGCAGCTCACTAGGCTAATCCTCCGCCTTGCGGCGCCGGCACACCGGGTTCTAGTCCCGGTCGGGGCGCCGGATTCTGTCCCGGTTGCCCCTCTTCCAGGCCAGCTCTCTGCTGTGGCCAGGGAGTGCAGTGGAGGATGGCCCAGGTGCTTGGGCCCTGCACCCCATGGGAGACCAGGAAAAGCACCTGGCTCCTGGCTCCTGGCTCCTGCCATCGGATCAGCACGGTGCGCCGGCCGCAGCGCGCTGGCCGCGGTGGCCATTGGAGGGTGAACCAACGGCAAAGGAAGACCTTTCTCTCTGTCTCTCTCTCTCACTGTCCACTCTGCCTGTTAAAAAAAAAAAATAAATAAATAAATAAAAATAAAAATAAAAAAAAACAGGAGTTGAGTAGATGAAGAAAGCTTGGAAAACAGTTGTGCAGGGTTTGACAAAGTGAGTTGTGAAAACTGGGAATACAGGGATTTAAGACACAGAGATAAAGCATTTCTAAGTGAAAACAAAATTTAGATACAAAATGGGAGTAAATTCCAGAGAGAAGTCAAGGTAACAATCATTGGCTTTAAGGAGATAATAAATCATGTCATTTAAGCAGGGGTAATTGGGCATGGACCATCCAACTGATGAAGGAAGTGAAGTGGGAAGACTGTAGCCAAGTTCCAAAGTCCTTTTTGAAGGCTGGGGAGTGACTGGAAGGCCGAAGTTGATCATAAGAGATAGAGTATAAAAGTAAATAGGAAGAAAATAAAATGTATAGTTTTATTGTTGGAAATATTTTGTTGCTATGCAAAAATCACAGCTAATTTTTCCATTAGGCCAAAAATTGAAATACTGTTAGCAGCAAATGTAACTCCTATGGCAAAAAAAAAAAAAAAAAAAAAAAAAAAAAAAAAAACAGTCCCCATCAGAGAAGAGCTTCCTGGTAGGTATTATCCTTTTAAAGAAAATGTCAAACTTTTGAAACTTTATAGCTTTTTAAAAAAATACATATTTATTTATTTGAAAGTCAGAGTTACCAAGAGAGATGGAGAGAAAGAGAAGGAGAGAGAAAGATCTTCCATCTGTTGGTTCACTCCTCAAATGACTGCAATGGCCAAGACTGAGCCCAGCCGAAGCCAGGACCTTCATCTGGGTCTCCCCAATGAGTGTCAGGAGCCCAAGCACTTGGGCTAGCTTCCACTGCTTTCCCAGGCACATTGGCAAGGAGCTGGATTGGAAATAGATTGGCCAGGGTACAAACCAGTGTCCATATGGAATGCCAGCATTGCAGGTGGCAGCTTAAACTACTCCACCATGACACCAGCCCCTAAAGCTTATTCTTCAGTCTAACTAATCCTCATATGAGCAGGTGTTTAGCCTAGCAGTTAGGACACCGACATCTCACCTTAAAGTAGCTGGGTTTGACTTCCAGCTCCAGATCCTGTCTGCATCCTCTTGCCAATGCAGACCCTGGGAGGAAACAGTAATGGCTCAAATAATTGGGTGTCTTCCACCCATGTAGGAGGCCTTGATTGGGATCTTAGCTTCTGGCTTCAACCCCAGCCCTGTCCCAGCCTTTACAGGCATTTGGGGAATGAACCAGGGAATGAGAGCTCATTCTATTCTCTCTCTCTCTCTCTCTCTCTATCTCTCTCTCATCCTCCCTCCCTCCCTCCCTCTTTGTAAACAAACAAAAAAAGTTTTCAAATTTTAAATTAAAATAATTTTAACAAGCATAAATTTTTTTAATTCTTTTTCAGCAAAGAAAAGTGACCTAATACACCGAGAGATGCTTCTCTTGGGAATAGAATAGCTTCGGTCCTTGAAAACAGTCATTGCCCAGAATTTGATGTGGACACATTTGTATCTCTTGAGAGAAGCCCCCTAAGAAGGTGAGTGAGCCTCGCAGTGCTCTCTAAGCACTAAGGGTTGTTTAGCAGGATGGTGAACCTGATGTGTGGAGGAAGAAGGTTGTTCTGTTTTGGGGATTGAAAATTTGAAAACTGCTTGACTACTAAAGGTGTGGACCCCTGGGCAGGAAAGGAAGTCAGTAGTTCCCGAGCAGTAGATACTTAAACTAAGTGTCTGAGTCCAGGGGACACTTTGAGAAATCACTGTGTATAAATCAAAATGCTAAGTGCCAGGGATTGCAACGTGTCTGGCCAAGCTTCCATAGGCTTGAGTCATTCATTCATTCATTCTCTACCAGAGAACCACATCAAATCTGTGCAGATCTGAATGCACACAGGCTTCACCCCAGAAAGGAATGGCATCCTCTGTCCAGCCTTTAACACTTCAGTTGATCATTGTAATATTGAAGACGGTGTTTATACCACCGATTCTTAAGGGTTCAGAGCCCCATGATTAATCCTTAGGCTGTACCCTTAGAGGTGAGTCCATATGCTTCTATGCATAACTATACTTTTTTTTTTACAGTTTTAGACTATCTCCTCCATCTTTTATTCCCTCTCTTTTTTTAAGCTGGTATCTTTTTCCAATTGCTTTAAAAATACATATAATTAACTCTGTGTTACATAGAGAATTCAGCCTACAGTGTGAGGTAGATGAAAGAGAGAGAAAGAAAACAGAGGAAAAACAAACAAACAAAAACAACCAACAAAACAAAACCAAAGGGATATACACAGTAAAAAGTAACAATAGTTAACTGTCTCTAGACAATCAGGTCAAGGGTTTTTGAGGATATTAGTTCTGAAGGTGACTATTTTGCGTCTATAGCTTTCATTTTAGCTGTGCTGATAATTCTCCTGAACCAGGGGGAACATATGGTGTTTGTCTCTTTGGGACTGGGTTATTTCACTGAGTATGAGGTTTTCCAGCTTGCTCCATTTTGTTGCAAAGGACCAGATTTCATCCTTTTTTACTGCCATGTAGTATTCCATAGTGTACATGTCCCACAGTTTCTTTATCCAGTCTTCGGTTGATGGACATTTAGGTTGCTTCCATGTCTTAGCTATTGTGAATTGAGCTGAGACAAACATGAGGTGCAGATAGTTCTTTTGTTTACTGATTCATTTCCTTTGGGTAAACTCCCAGTAGTGAAATGGCTGGGTCATATGGTAGGTCTATATTCAGATTCCTGAGGCATCTCCAAATTATCTTCCACAGTGGCTTTACCAGTTTGCATTCCTACCAACAGTGGGCTAGGGTGCCCTTTTCCCCACATCCTCTCCAGCATTTGTTGTTTGTGGATTTCTGTATGAGGGCCACTCTAACTAGGGTGAGGTGAAACCTCATTGTGGTTTTGATTTGCATTTCCCTGATGGCTAGAGATCCTGAGCATTTTTTCATGTGTCTGCTGGCCATTTGGATTTCCTCTTTTGAAAAATGTCTGTTAAGGTCCTTGGCCCATCTTTTTATTGGGTTGTTTGTTTTGTTGCTGTGGAGTTTCTTGATCATTTTATAGATTCTAGTTGTTAATCCTTTATCAGTTGTGTAGTTTGCAAATAGTTTCTCCCATTCTGTCGGTTGCCTCTTCACTTTCCTGACTATTTCTTTTGCTGTAAAGAAACTTCTCAATTTGAGGTAATTCCAATTGTTCATTTTGGCTTTGACTACCCATGCCTCTGGGGTCTTTTCCAGGAATTCTCTGCCTGGTCCAATGTCTTGAAAGGTTTCCCCTATGCTCTCAATTAATTTGATGGTATCATGGCGTAGATTTAGATCTTTAATCCATATTGAGTGGATTTTTGTATATGGTGTAAGATGGGAGTCTTGTTTCATACTTCGACATGTGGACATTCAGTTTTCCCAGCACCATTTGTTGAAGAGGCTGTCCCTGTTCCAGAGTTTGGTCTTAGCTCCTTTGTCGAATATGAGTTGGTTGTAGATGTTTGGATTGATTTCCAGTGTTTCTATTCTGTTCCGTTGGTCTATCCATCTGTGTTTGTACCAGTACCACGCTGTTTTGATTCTAACTGCCTTGTAGTATGTCTTGAAGCCTAGAATTGTGATGCCTCCAGCTTTGTTTTTATTGTATAGGATTGCTTTAGCTATTCGCGGTCTCCTGTTCCTCCATATGAATTTCAGCATCATTTTTTCTAGGTCTATGAAGAATGTCTTTGGTATTTTGATTGGAATGGCATTGAGCCTGTATATTGCTTTCGGAAGAATGGACATTTTGATGATATTGATTCTTCCAATCCATGAACATGGCAGATTTTTCCCTTTTTTGTGTTTTCTTCTATTTCTTTCTTTAATGTTTTGTAATTTTCATCATAGAGATCTTTGACATCCTTGGTTAAATTTATTCCAAGGTACTTGATTGTTTTTGTGGCTATTGTGAATGGCATTGATCTTAGAAGTTCTTCCTCGGCCACAGCATTGTCTGTGTATACAAAGGCTGTTGATTTCTGTGCACTGACTTTGTATCCTGCTACTTTACCAAACTCTTCTATGAGTTCCAATAGTCTCTTAGAGGAATCTTTTGGATCCTCTATATATAGAATCATGTCGTCTGCAAATAGGGATAGTTTGACTTCCTCCTTTCCCATTTGTATCCCTTTAATTTCTTGCCTGATGTCTCTAGCTAAAACTTCTAGGACTATATTGAATAGCAATGGTAAGAGTGGGCAACCCTGTCGTATGCCAGTTTTCAATGGAAATGCCTCCAACTTTTCCCCATTCAATATAATGCTGGCCATGAGTTTGTCATAAATTGCCTTAACTGTGTTGAAGAATGTTCCTTTTAAACCCAATTTGCTTAGAGTTTTCATCATGAAAGGGTGTTGTATTTTGTCAAATGCCTTCTCTGCATCTATTGAGATAATCATGATTTTTGTTTCTTAATTTGTTATCACATTGATTGATTTTTGAACGTTGAACCATCTCTGCATGCCAGGGATACATCCCACTTGGTCCGGGTGAATGATCTTTCTGATGTGTAGTTGGATTTGGTTGGTCAGGATTTTGTTGAGTATTTTTGCATCTATGTTCATCAGGGAGATAGGTCTATAGTTTTCTTTCTCTGTTGCATCTTTTCTGGGCTTAGGAATTAAGGTGATATTGGCTTCATAGAAAGAATTTGGGAGGATTCCCTCCCTTTCAATTGTTTTGAATAATTTGAGAAGAACTGGGATTAGTTCTTCTTTAAATGTCTGGTAGAATTCAGTGGTGAAGCCATCCGGTCCTGGGCTCTTCTCTTTTGGTAGTGCATTTATTACTGATTCAATTTCTTGCATGATTATGGGTCTGTTTAGGTTTTCTATGTCTTCATGGCTCAGTTTCAGAAGGTTGTTGTGTATTCAGGAATCTATCCATTTCTTCCAGGTTTCCCAGTTTGTTGACATGCAACTCTTTGTAGTTGTTTCTGATGATTCTTTTTATTTCTGTTGTGTCTGTTGTTACATTTCCATTAGCATCTTTAATTTTACAGATTTGAGTCTTCTCTCTCCTTTTTTTGGTTAGTTGGGCCAATGGTGTGTCTATTTTGTTTATTTTTTTCAAAGAACCAGCTCTTGGTTTTGCTGATCTTTCGTATCGTTTTTTTGTTTGTTTGTTTCAATTCTGTTTGTTTCTTTAATCTTTAGTATTTCTTTTCTTCTTCTGTGTTTGTGTTTGGTTTGCTGCTGTTTTTCTAAATCCTTGAGGTACATGGAGAGGTCATTTATTTGGTACCTTTCCAGTTTCCTGATGTAGGCACCAATTGCTATAAACTTTCCTCTTAGCACTGCTTTTGCTATATCCCACAAGTTTTGATAAGTTGTATTGTCATTTTCATTTGTTTCTAGAAATTTTTTGATTTATCTTTTGATTTCTTCTATGACCCACTGTTCATTCAGAATCACGTTGTTCATTCTCCATGTGTTTGCATATGATGCAGAGATTCTTGAGTTGTTGATTTCGAGTTTCATTGCACTATGGTCTGAGAAGATGCATGGTATAATTTCATTTTTTTTTAATTTGCTGAGGCTCCCTTTATGGCCTAGCATATGGTCAATCCTAGAGTAAGTTCCATGTACTGGGGAATTCCATGTACTCTGTGTCTGTGGGGTAGAAGGCTCTGTAGATATCTACTAGGTCTATTTGGTCTATAGCGTCAATTAGCTCTGTTGTTTCCTTGTTGGTTTTCTGTCTGGTTGATCTGTCCATTGGTGAAAGTGGGGTGTTTAAGTCCCCTGTTACTATTGTATTTGAGTCTATATCTCCCTTTAAGTCCTTTAGTAATTCTTCTTTCAAATAGTCAGGTTAGGTGCATATACATTTATAATAGTAATATCTTCGTGTTGGATTGATCCTTTAATCATTATATATGTCCTTCTTTGTCTCTTTTTTTATTTTTTATTTATTTGACAGGTAGAGTTATAGGCAGTGAGAGAGAGAGACAGAGAGAAAGGTCTTCCTTCTGTTGGTTCACTCCCCAAATGGTCGCTACAGCTGATGCTGCGCCAGTCCGAAGCCAGGAGCCAGGTGCTTCCTCCTGGTCTTCCATGCAGGTGCAGAGACCCAAGCACTTGGGCCATCCTCCACTGCCTTCCCGGGCCACACCAGAGAGCCAGACTGGAAGAGGAGCAACCGAACTAGAACCCAGCACCCATATGGGATGCTGGCATCGCAGGCAGAGGATTAACCAAGTGAGCCACAGCAACGGTCCCAGCCATGACTTTAATGATAAGTCACTTTATGTTTCCTTTGTTTTTGGACCTTCTCTACCATCAACACAGAAACACTGGGTATCTTAAGGTGGAGGAGGTAGCAAGACTGCATAACTTGAGGTAGCCGAAGTGAAGGAAGAATGCAAGGCAGTAGCTCAGGGGACAGGGAGCCCTAAAAGTTGCCACAGGAGCATAGCTGTGTAGTGCTCAGCACTTGATGAATCCTCACTTTTTCACAAAAGGAAGTAGATGCACAAGGCTCACCCAGCAAGGAGCAGAGC